ACCGCGGCCCCGCCCCATCACACCCGAAGGGCCAATCAGCGGCTGTTGCTAAGCGAAAGTTCCAAGGCCCCAGCTCAGAGACACAATGAGCTCCGCACCTCACCTCGCGGTCCCAAACCGCAACTTGGGACAGGATGTAGTCCCGTCCCCTCCCAGCCTGCCCCTGATCCCGCAGGCCCTTACCGGGGTTAGCAGCTCCGGGGTGGAGATGGGGGAGCAGTCACCATTGAGTTTGATGCCACTGCCCAGGTCAAAGTCGCAGATCTTCACGGGAGAGACCTGGGTGAGGGTCAAGAAGGGGCAGTGAGGTGAAGTGGGTGAGGGTCCTGCCCAGCCTGCACAGGGCCTCATCCTGCAGGGAAGGCCAACCCCCAGCGTTCCTCACCTGGTTGGGGTGCTCACAGAGGATGTTTTCCAACTTTAGGTCCCTGTGGGCAATGCCTGTGGGGTAGAACCAGGAGAGAGAGTCAGTGGGTGGGGTGGGTGCATCTTTAGGGGAGTCCTGAGTAGGTGTACTGGGGGCAAGGCTGGATACCCCGGGGACCCAGGCATCTTTGGGCAAGATGCCAAAGAGTAGGTGGCACCCTGAGCAGCCAACCCCACCAGCCACCTTTGTTGTGCAGGAAATCCAAGGCGCTGGCCACGTCCTGCACGACCACGCTGGCCTCCAACTCATTAAAGTGCCGTCTCTTGTGAATGTGGCTTAGGATGGAGCCTGGGGCCAGGCCATAGTAGAGGGAAAAAAACGTGTAAGGATCACCTCTGTATCCCCAGGCCACCACCCAGCACCCACTCCCACCTAGCAGGGAAGCTTCCACTCTGGCATCCTTGGGCCCAAAGTCCTTGACCCAAGTTGCTGTGTGGACAAGAAACTAAGAACCCACAAGCGCCCTCTGATGTGCAGGACCCTCTGAAAGGTCTTCTGTGGTGGCCCTGAGCCCATTAGGATCTAGCTGGACATGTCTCCCAGGCTCCACATACCGCCCCGCATCTTCTCAAACACCAAGTAGAAGCGGTCTTCCTCCTCGAAGAACTCAATCAGCTCTAGAACGTTCCTGGGGTGGGGGTGGGGGCAGGATAGGAATGAGACTTCCTAAGGCCCCTGTGCATACCCAGCTCATGAGGGACCCACCCTCCTCACCCCCACCTGCCCAGAGGAAGCCTGGGACTGGGTCCACAGGCCTGCTTCCACCTTGCCCACCTCAGACTGCCTGCCTAACACTAGGCCCACTAACAATGGCCTGAACACAGTGGGAACTCCCTAAATGCTTGCTGGTGGTAAAAGAGGCATTTAGGCCCATTCATCCACTAAAAGATAGCTCAGGGCTGAGGGTGGGTCACATTACCTGTGTCCCTGGCATTGATACAGCATCTCCACCTCTCGGAAAACCCTACTTCGAATGTGGCCAGGCTGCTTCTCGATGATCTGAAACGTGGGGGTGGGGGGAAAGCAGCTGGGTCAGCCGGACTTTCCACAGCCTGAGGGACCTCCATCAGAAACTTTCCCTGTGCTACACCTGAAACTCTTAGAGCTTTACCACTAAACTCTAGAAAGCACAGTTCTCCTACGGGGACCCAGAATTTGCCGGTCAGAACTGCAGCATCAGCATAAGTAGTGGGCAATGTGTTTCCCAAGCAGCACCAAGGGAGGGGTGAGTGGGACAGGAAAGGAAGAGAGATGGAGCCAGGCTCTGTCCACTCCTGACCCCAAAAGGCCTCAGGGATGTATTTGGGGCCTGGGGCCCCTGCAAAATACCCCTCCACAATGTCAGGGTCCCCTGTACTGAGTGGCCTCCCCTTCCTGACCAGGAGACTGGTGGCCACTGTGCTGGCTCCCACACCACCCAGGGGACTAGAGGGGCCTCAGGGCGCCTGGATGCCAGCCAAGCTGTACCCACTTGCCTCCACACCAAATTCTGCCTCCCTAGTTCCACACCAGTCTGGGTATATGTCTGTGGTCCCACAAACCTGGGTGTTTCAGGCCAGCCCAGATTGGCCCCCTGCCCACCAGCAGACACAGCCTCCCAGACCCCAGAACCTCAGGAAGCCAACCCACACTTTAATCCCCAACCCTTTCAGGCACCCAGGAGCTCTAAAACCAGAGGGTTCTGGGCCCATCCCTCCAAATGCCCCCCAGCCATCTTTGCTCAGAGGTGGGGTCAGACGGTGCCTCGGGTCCCCTCTAGCTGAGCGGGTGGGCAGGCTGGGTCACCACCCATGTCCAGGGTTCTATACACATCACAGTGGCCAAGGAAGGGAATGTGGTATGTTCCACAGGCCAGGCTCCTACAGCAGGCAGGCACACAAATCCACTGACCTCCAAGGCCTGGGCCTATGCATTGACCCATCTGCCTAGTGACAAACATACCAGTCCCAAAGAGGGGCAGAAAAACCAGATTCCTGGGCCTCTAGAGATAAAGCAACCAGCCATGCCCTTCTGCAATAAACTGAACCTCATCCTGTCCCTTGGGAATCTGGCTAGTACCCCACTTCATAGAGAAAACTGTAGTCCCTTGGGGGAGGGAAATGGCCTTCTGAGATTTCAGACACAGGGCCTCAATTTCCCTATCAGTCAAACAATGATAGTAAGCCAGGCTGCCCAGCAGGTCCTTAGGAGAGAGGTACTCAGAGATACACCAGGTATGCAGAAAGTACTCTAAGTGCCCAATTTTCCTGCACCCACCACCCCATTCCACCTGGGAGCTTCCAGGGGGCAGGGACCAATAGCATCCTTTGTCACTGGACTTCCACCAGGACCTAGAGCTTCTGATCAGCCCTATTTGCCAGGAAGCACTTGGCCTCCCTGCCTGAGCAGCCAGCTTCCCATGACCCCACTCAGCCCAGATACAGGATCATGAGGACAGCCCACAAGGTTTCTTAGAATTTAGGATCCAACAGTCTAGCCAGACAATGGAGGTGACAGGGCCACAGCTCCCAGGCTGCACCCTGGGTCAGAAGCCACATGGGGCATGAAGGAGGCTCTGCCCTGGTCTCCCTGAATGCTGAGCCCCCTGGGACCTAAGTATGGCATTACCTTTTAATATGCCTAGTAACCAATATGGGTAAGCACTAGTTGTGCCTGGGGACCAGACTGAGGTAACCCAATAGGTGAGCATCAGCTTTGACCAAAGACCCCCACCCCCCACCCCAGTCTCAATGGCCACTCTGGCACCAGGTCCTCTGCCACCTGCATAAGGTGCCACACTTTGTGGTCACTTTCAGTCTCTGCCTGGACTTGGGGGCTCAGCCCAGGCTGACCTGGATTCCTAGGGGTCATTTTTAGACACTGGTTTTCCCCAGTTGTGAGTCTGGGAATTTGAATGCCAGATACCTGGTGCTGCCGGGGAGAGATGAGGGGACAGGTGAGGGTGTTGTGCTTACCTTGACAGCGTACTCCTGGTTGGTGATGAGATTGATACAGGTCTGCACACGGGCATGGGCACCCTCCCCAAGCACATCCTCTTGCAGCTGGTAGACGTCTGGGGAGCAGGGAAGGCAATGAGAGCTGTCCTGGGCGTCCTAGTCATCTCCTCACTGTCCCCGGTGATGCCCACCCTACTCACCTTCGAACCTGCCCGAGAAGCTGTCAGTTGCCCGACACCGCTTCTTTTTCTTGCCCCTCTTCTTGGCATCTGGGATGTCGATGGGCTGACTCGTGGGCATATCTGCACCAGGGGACCCGGATGTGAGGCCCACTTGGCCCCTGTGGCTCTCAGGCCCCACCTGGCTCTCACCCATATTCCCCTCCCTCCCGGGCCCCTCACCAGGGCGGGCTGGGCACTCCAGGCTGAAGTCAGTCTCCCCGGGGTGGGCTTGTTCTAGGGAGAAGGCCAGCTCGAAAGGATTCTGCCCCTGTAGTGAAGAAGAGAAAGCTCTCAGGCCCTAGTGCTGCCAGGGCTGTCCCATCACAGAGTGACCCAGTCCTGGGTACATATGCCAAGGGGAAGAAAGCCTGGCTTTGCCTGACCATGAAGAAATAGCCCTTCTACCCCCAGCCTAGGGCCCTTGGGGCCCACCAGGGAGTGTGCAGCCATGCAGGGAGGAGGGCTGCAAGTTACTGTGGGCACCTTGGTTTGTTCACCTGCAGAATGGGGACAGCAGGCTGGAGATCAAAGGCAAAGAGCAGTCAGTGGGGGGTGAGTCACCAGCTCTAGGGTGGGGCTCCCAGCCAGTTGCCCTGCCGGCTTTCCCACGGCCCTTTGGGTTCAGCCCTTCCTGTATAATGGGGTGCCATCACCCTCCCTGTCTTATGCTGCTCTCTATCCTGTCCCACCGTTCCCCCAGAGGCTTATAGGAGAGGCATCCATGGGCTTCAGCATGAACACTGAACTATTCTCTGCCTGGGCCACAGCCAGCACTGTCCTGTTCACTGCCAGATAACCCCAGGAGGGAGCCCCACAGGTCTAGTGCCCAGCGAAGAAACCATCCCTGTTGGAGAGGGGCCTGCTCAAGGTCCTGGATGGCCCCCAGGACTGAGGAGAGGACACCAGACACTGCCCAAAGAAGACAGGCAGCCCAGAAATGGAGAAATCTCCTATGGAACAAACAGAAGGCTGCTAGGATAAATGCCATTTCCACAAAGCAGATAGTCCTGTATGAGAACTGACAGCCCCTCACATAAAGGCTGAGGGATACTGAGGCCCAACCAACTTCCTTTTTGAGTTAGTTCTAATTAGGTCCCAACATCCTGACGGGCCAGGCAGCCAGGGCCCTGGTGGGCATTTGTATGTTGGGGCGGGGGGGGTGTGCCTGTATACACAATTGTGGTGCAAGGGCTGATACTGGGTGACCTGGGCCAAGTCACTGCCCTTCTCTGGGCCGTGTGACAGCTAGGGCTGGGGCTGTAGCAGGAGAATCATCCAACAGAGAAGGAACTCTAGGAGAGCCCTAGGAAGATCCTGAGGGGCTCACTCTGCCAGACCAGATTCCTACAGACAGGAGGCCCAGAAGCCAGGCCAGCTGCAGAGGGTGCAGGCAGAGGTCAGCAGGAGCAGCTGAAAAACAGTCGGGGCCCTCCCAGCCTCCCTACCCACTCTGCAGATAGTTGCTAGGAGGAGCAGGGGAGGAGGGAGGAAGGGAGTACTGAAGCCAGCCTGCTGATGCTGGTCCACCAGCCTCTGCTCCTGCCCACTGAGGAGTCTGGCCCCCATGGGGACTGCGATCAATGCTCTGATAAGTCTTCGTCCTTCCACCTGGGAGGAGGGGGTCCAGGGTGGCCACAAAAGGGGGTTATTAGGATGGAAGGTGGACGTGAGGAAGCTGTCCCCAACAATCAAGTAAGGGTGCTAGGACCTGAGGGGAATGTGAGTCCCCTCACCACTCCCATACAACTGTCCCAGCCCCCAACTCAAAAGAGCTAGACCCTGGAGGACCACCTCAGAGCCAAGATTCCCTGTCCAGTGTCCCCACTCCCTCTCTTGGGACTCCCACAGTCCCACCTCAGCACAGGGCACCCACAGAGCTCTTGGGTGGCCTGCAAAGGCCAGCCTTCAGGCATAAGCAGTGTAGGCGGGCCAGGCCCACGGCTGGCTGAGGGCCTCCAGTCAGCAGGCCTTGGCAACAGGCAGCTGGAACCATCCAGAAAGTTTGAGTACGCTTTGACCGCAGAGCTGGCCCTGCCCACTGACCCTGTCTCAGCTCAGACACAGCTCCAGAAGTTAACAGACCACCACCAGTGACATCTCATGTCCACCACCCTCCCACCCAGCCCCGGCCATCTGGACATGCCAAGGCTGTCACTACCCTTGGGGGGAAGCAAGGTGACAGGCATGTGCATGGGGTGGGGCGCTGGCAGGCAATGCTGGCTGGACAGGCCTGGGAATTCTAACCCAAACACTCCAGGCTGGCTCCTCCCACCTT